ACTAGCTTTCTCAGACTGGCAACCCAAAGGGCAATGGTAGCACTGATTGAAGAGATTTGGGGTTTTTTTTATAGGATCTTCTATAAGTAAATGTGTCACTTTGAGGTGGCTACATGTCAATGAGCAGTAGCTCTCTTAGTTGGTGGGTCTAGCTCCTAAGTGCTGCCAGAACAGGTACCTATAATTTTTCTGCTGTTCTTCCTCCTCTTGCCAGTATTCATTCTCCTCTTCTTCACTTTCTATCTTCCTTTTGCCCTGCCATTGAGCAGATTTGTAAAAAAAGCTGTCTGGAGAAAACAAGAACTAACAGCAAGTGTTACAGAGTCCAAGGGAATAGAATCATTCCGGGCAACATTTTTCAGCAATCCGTTGCCCTTAATCAATATGGGTAGCGCAGACAGTGCCAAATTGCTCACTTTTGAACTTTCAGTTCTGTTTCAGAAGTGTGAGTGAGACATGGTGGGACCCGGTTGTCTATTAGCCAATGCCTCTGACCCTTTGGGTTTCTTTCCTCCTTGATAGGTGGTTCTAGAAAGAGTTGATCATAATCAGATACAGTTCCCACCCTTCTCTAGCTCCTAGTATCCCTAAAAGCAGCATTAGGAACACTTTCTGCGGTCTATCTCTGGGTTGTCAGGGCTGAGAGAGGCCTACAGGTAATGAATTAACTGCTGCAGCAAGCAATCTTCCCATTATATTATTCTAGTGTCTAGGAGTCTTTGATAGTTTTCCATCAAATTTCTCTAGAGAAACATTTCTCTATGGGGAAACTTATTTTGCAGGTTCAGTGAGATTCTGTTGGGACAAGTCCCTTCAGAACTAGCCAAACCCTTTTGCTCTGAAAATAAAGTGCCATTAGAGAACAGTCTTCCTCACCTTGTTATTGCTATAGGGGCACCTTGGAATCCCAATAATGTTAGCACACCATTGTGTTAGGTTGATCAGCTCCATAACACAGGTCTTAGGATTTCATCCAGTAATTCCTGCATCAACCTGGGATTGGGTGCCTAGACATTCTACTATTACATTCAGGCCTCCATCCTGTGCCATTGAAATCGCTGAGTTCTACCACTGTCTTTATTGGAACGAAATTGTACTCTTCTGGCACACCTTGGACCAGATCTTGAAGACTTTAGTTGATTTTCTTTTAGTTAGACCCTGATTCATTGAATTCTTACACATGTGCTTAATTTTAAACACAAACTTAAGTCCTGTTGAAGTAAACGGGGACTTTAAACATAGCCTTACAGTTAAGCATGTGCTTTAGTGCATATGCCTATGCATATGCCAAGTGCTTTACTGAACTGGGGCCTGAATGCTTACCCAGGAAAAACTGCTATTGGGATCAATGTAAGTCTTGCCTACGTAAAATATTTGTAAAGTCTTCAGGTTTGGTTACAAATATGAGAATTTTTTTGTTTGTTTGCATTTATTGTTTCAGCAGAAAAGCACATTGGAATGTTTCATAGCTCGATAATCTTTAAAATATTTGGTAGTTTTGCTTGAATGTGATGTTTTGATTAAAAATTCACCACATATGGCATGGAAAAAAAGTGCATGGCCTCAGAAGTTCAATGTTATTGAATTTCACCAATTGTTTCAGATGGAAACCTTTTATTTTTTTTCCCCAAAGATTTGTTTAGTTCTCAATGCTAGGACTTACTAGAGTTTGCACAATAGGCCAGCTCAATATGAAGTATTAAAATCAGGTATTGAATTTTTTTGCTTTCTTTGGAGTAGTGTTATAGGAGATAGGTTTCACACACAAAAAAGTTTCCTGTCAGAACACAGCAAAAAAGAGAAGTGGAGTAACTGAGAGCATCCTTTGTGTCTGTTTTGAAACATGTTCTTGTTTTTAAAAAGGTTTATGTAATTTTATTTTTACATTTATTCTTTTGCCAGGAACATTTTAGGCCCAGCTGGGGCAAATAATTAATGTAACTCCAAAGATGCATTTTCAAAGATCCATTTTATATATTTTAACTTCTATGAGAATTCCTCTGGTGCTATTTTTATGTGAGACTCTTTTTCCATTTCAGTAAAAGGATGACACAAGATGTTTGCTTAGAAGAAGAGTCTTTGACATCCTCCTGAGAATGTTTTGATAGAATGGCATACATTTGGTAACAATTAGTAAGCCAAACAAGTTGCCATTGTTATCTCACTATGTTTGTCCAGAGCTCATAAGGAGCTTTCAGAAAATAGTCATCTCCATGTTTTCCGTTAACTGACTGCACGTTCAGCAGGGCTAAAGATGAGGACATTTTGTAAAACTCCCTTATCCTTAAGCTAAGTTTTATCAGAGAGATTTTATGCTAAGATGAGGGGTTGAAAGCAAAATGGCAAGCACTGGTATGGTTAAGTATAAAGGGATATTGTACATGTACCATGGCTCATGTTCCTATATGTGGGAAAAAATACTGATCTGTTCTTGCTGCTTCTGGATACAAGATGTTGTATCTGAGGGCTGAAAATAATAGCTCCTGGCGAGAAATCATTCACCAACGTGAAGTGTAGATGAATTTTCCTGGTCAGATTGAAAATAGGGTTAACCCTATTTTAGTTTAATTTTTGAAATTGCTCCCTATCTGGGTTTAGTTGGCTTTATTTTATTCATACTTCACTATGTAGTGTAAAAATTCTCAACTTCTTTTCTGTATCTGACATGTGTTGTACTTTAAATTGTGCTCATTTGATACTTTCTGTATAACCTTGGTTCCTTTTGTAGTTGAGCTATGAGATGTCATCTTGTTTTTACTGCTAAATGTTTTCCAGTATTTATTAAATTTAATAAATAGAGATTGAGGGAGATTAGGTGGTTCATGAGACTGGTAAAGAGATAAGGAGCCTTCAAATCATGGTCACTGGTTTAATTTTAGTTCAATCCGGGTCATTAATAATCACAGGTTTGGCTGTTTTTGTGGCTTATGTAAAATGACTTGGCTTCAGTCAAGTTCCTAGTGAACTATTGTCCCCCTCACAAAAAACCCAGTGAAACTGTTACTAATTGGAACCATTGAACCTCATATTGGGAAGTGGTGAGCATTGGCTTTAGTGGGAGTTGAAGGTGTTCAGCGCATCTTCTGATTAGGTCCTTTGTTTGCGGCCTCATTGGAAGGGCCATAGTTTTATGAGCTGTCATAAATATAAAGGGAAGGGTAAACCCCTTTGAAATCCCTCCTGGCCAGGGGAAAGCTCCTCTCACCTGTAAAGGGTTAAGAAGCTAAAGGTAACCTCGCTGGCACCTGACCAAAATGACCAATGAGGAGACAAGATACTTTCAAAAGCTGGGAGGAGGGAGAGAAACAAAGTGTCTGTGTGTCTGTCTATATTCTGTCTTGGCCGGGGATAGACCAGGAATGGAGTCTTAGAACTTTTAGTAAGTAATCTAGCTAGGTACGTGTTAGATTATGATTTCTTTAAATGGCTGAGAAAAGAACTGTGCTGAATAGAATAACTATTTCTGTCTGTGTATCTTTTTTGTAACTTAAGGTTTTGCCTAGAGGGGTTCTCTATGTTTTGAATCTAATTACCCTGTAAGGTATCTACCATCCTGATTTTACAGGGGGGGGATTTCTTTATTTCTATTTACTTCTATTTTTATTAAAAGTCTTCTTGTAAGAAAACTGAATGCTTTTTCATTGTTCTCAGCTCCAAGGGTCTGGGTCTGTGGTCACCTATGCAAATTGGTGAGGCTTTTTATCCAACGTTTCCCAGGAAAGAGGGGGGTGCAAGTGTTGGGAGGATTGTTCATTGTTCTTAAGATCCAAGGGTCTGGGTCTGTAGTCACCTAGGCAAATTGGTGAGGCTTTTTACCAAACCTTGTCCAGGAAGTGGGGTGCAAGGTTTTGGGAAGTATTTTGGGGGGAAAGACGCGTCCAAACAGCTCTTCCCCAGTAACTAGTATTAGTTTGGTGGTGGTAGCAGCCAATCCAAGGACAAAGGGTGGAATATTTTGTACCTTGGGGAAGTTTTGACCTAAGCTGGTAAAGATAAGCTTAGGAGGTTTTTCATGCAGGTCCCCACATCTGTACCCTAGAGTTCAGAGTGGGGGAGGAACCTTGACATGAGCCGTGGAGTCTGAGTGTGGGGGCACGGTGGATGAGCTTGCACTTCCACTCACTGTGCTGTAGCTCTATCTGGGCAGAGTGGAGTGTCCTGTAATCCTTCAGTGTTAAGCAGGTGAAATCATTTAAATTCTATGAATTTCTGAAGGGAATGGTCAATATTTCCCCCCAAATCTGTATTTAAAGGGTCAAATCCTGGGCTAGCCTGAGTAGCCTGGGCAGCTCAGATTTGAACAAATGCATAGGTAATACAGGAGAAAGGGGAATCCCCTCCCACTCCGTAGCTGCAGAGCAGCAGCCCAACGATTGAAGTAGCCTCAGCCAGCATTTGCTGAGAGGGGCAGGATGGGAAGTTTTGCACAACAGTGGTTCCCTCACCCTTGCCCCACTGTGTTCCCAGAGGGTTGCCACAATATGATATGCAAGCACTGTGCACTGCAGCCTCCTGCAACAGCCTTCTTGTGCTGTAGAATTGTTCCATTTCTGCTGGCTGGGGCCTCTGAAATGGGAGTTGAGGGTACACAGCATCTAGGAGAACTGGGCCCAGAATCACTAATAAAATTAGTAACAGCAATAAACCCATCCTTTTTCATGTTCTCATCATCAAATCCAAGTGGTGTCAGTTCATGTTCTCTAAAGCATTTTGAATTCTATTTAGTTGGTGATTAAGTTTCTCTGTTCATGAGCAGGGGAAGCTGGTAGGAATGTTAATTTTAAGGGTAAACTTAAACTTGTCTGAAGTTGTAACAGACACTGTGAGATCAAAAGCTCTTCCAAACTGTCTTACACAAAAAGAATGCCCCAGTTTTACTGTTTTCACTCAATTTCTTCCCTCTGGAAAGAGAATCTATCTTTAATGCACTTAAATTTGGGTATGAACTATCCATTTTGTCTCTCATCTGAAACATAATTTTCCCTATGTTGCAGTTCTTTAGATTTATGCAGTAGCCACGTTTGTTAAAGTATTTGGCAGTGGTGACATCATCTTTGTTGAAATGCCATTCTGAGTGATGAGTCCCAGATGCTAACATACAGCAAAAGCCGAGAGAAGGAATACAGTGTAATATCAAATACAGTAAGTGGGAAGATAATAAAAGGTTATTTGCTTGTCTTTAAATATTACAAGATTTATCTTGTTCATATGTTCAGCAAGAGTTAGAAAGAGGCCAATTATGAAAATATGATTAGTTATCACCATGAGGATGATAATACTGTATGTGCTGTACGGGATCTGCTATGCTGTGAACTTGGGATGAAGACTGAATGAAACATAGATTCATTTTACATATATTTTTGCCATTTTTTTAGTTTATTCGTCTCTTAAATTTTGCATGGACTGATTACAACGTATGTTGAAAATGTGCAAAAAGCCAGATGTCTCTCTCTTTGAACTGCCAGGATTTAATGTGTCATTTGGATAATGGTCATGCATGGTTATATCTGCACATCATGTTTTCTAATGTACTGTAACATGACATGCCAATGTAACCAAGAATAACACAGTTTCCTAATGACATGTCATGTCTGTGAAATGTAAAAAGGATGTGGCTTGCTGAAAACCAGGCTTGAAAATGTGACTTCATTTTAAAATAAAGTCATTCTCAATACAATTTCTACTTTACCAAAAATAGCTTTCATCATAGATTATTACAGACACATCTTCAGTTTGACTTAATTTCTGCATGTGGCACCCTGAATATTATATATTGGCTGTGTGATATAAAATTATAGATAGATAAATAGATAGATAGATCTCCACTCTTATCATCTACTTTGTGAGGTTGGCCTGACTAATTTTTTTTTTTTAAACTAGGTAGAAGTCTTCCCCCATATGGCCCTGACAAGGATGCATTTTCTTTAGGACATTATACAGGCTGAGCACTTGATAGTGCTCAGCAACATAAAAACAGCATCCACAGCTTCCGAGTTGACTTGAGAGAACTGAAAAAACATTTCTGCAGGTTCATAGGCATAGTACAAACTTAGCTAAAGTTAATGGAGGAGAAAAAGACATTTAAGACATGGCCTGTTGGGGAGGTTACAAAATGAATGTGTCTTATCAATATGAAACTGTATGTGATTTGCATAAGATGTAAGGATGTGACTTCAATTAAAAGCTACGTTAAGAAAAAACAATGGATCAAAATATGACTATTTCATGGCATTATTTTATTTCTATCATTCTATTTTTAGTTTATTTATCTAGAATGAAGATTTTCAAAAATGCTCAGCATTGGACTCAGGAGCTTGGCTCTCAAGGTATGTCGGCACTTTAAAAAAACAAAAGTGTGTGTTTTCTTACTGCAGGTTAGCAGTGAAGACATGGTAACTTGGCTTTCATCTCAGCTTAACTGCTTGAGTTCAACTCCAGACCTCCTATCACAGGGGTGGGTAAACTTTTTGGCCCAAGGGCCACATTGGGGAATATAAATTGTATGGCGGGCCATGAATGCTCACAAAGTTGGGGTTGGGGTGTGGGAAGGGGTGAGGGCTCTGGTTGGAGTTGTGAGCTCTGAGTTGGGGCTGGGGATGAGGAGTTTGGGCTGTAGGAGGGTGCTCTGGGCTGGGACTGAGGTGTTTGGAGGGCGGGAGGGCGATCAGGGGTGTGGGAAGGGGTGCGGGTTCTGGCTGAGGGTGCGGACTCTGGGGTGCAGCTGGGGATGAGAGGTTTGGGGTGCAGGAGGGTGCTCTGGGCTGGGATCGAGGGGTTTGGACAGCGGGAGGGAGATCAGGGTTGGGGTAGGGGGTTGGGGCATTTGGAAAGGCTATGGGGTGCAGGCTCCCAGCGGTGCTTACCTAAAGCGGCTCCCGGAAGCAGTGTCATGTCCCTTCTCTGGCTTCTACACAGAGGCTCAGCCATGCGGCTCTGCAGCTCCCATTGGAGCACCGGAGGGGGCCATTGGAGCGCGTAGGAGCTGGAGCGAGGCCATGCTGTGGCTTCTGGGAGCCGCGTGGTGTGGCCCCAACCATGCGCCCTGGCCAGAGCGCTGAAGTGGGGCTGAGCCGCATGGTGGAGCCCCGACCCAGCGCCCCGGCTGAGTCGGGTCGAGCTGCGTGGTGTGGCCCCACAGCGTCCCAGCTGGATTGCCTGTGCAGGGCCTAGCCTCATGGTCCGGCCCCCAACCCAGAGCCCCAGTGGGAGCTCGTGGGCTGGCTTAAAATGGCTCCTGGCCGGTTCTGGTCCGTGGGCCATAGTTTGCCTACCCCTGCTCTATCCTATAGGCTTTAACTGGAGCTGCAAACCCAAGTTGAAAGCAGAATTTCCATGTCTTCACTGCTATTTGAACCTGTGTTACTTAACCTGACTTAAGGACCACCATTTTTTTTTTTTGGGTTTAAGACGTATCTTCTATGATTTTAACAGGACTTAGTGCCTAAGCACCTGGGGCCAAATTTTCAAAAGTATTTAAACACCGAAAGAGGCAGATTGCATCTAGTAGGATTTTCAAATGTGCCTAAGCAAGTTAGGCACATAGCTTCCATTGAAATGAATTGAAGGTGTCTAAATACCTTTTGAAAAGCTGGCCCTTAAATCATTTTTAAAATGGGATTTTGGCTCCTAAGTTTCTTTGGCACTTTTGAAAAATATACCCATAGTGCACTTATACCCAGTAATACTTTTTGGGATGGGTATACTGTAGATGTAATGCTGTAATAGAAAATAGATCTTGTTCCCCGAATTTAGTGACAAATCTTGCTTTTGCTCATTTTATGAAACTTTTCTTCTTGAGCCATATCATTCAAGACCTGGGTGATTTAGGGTATACTTAAATGAGAGATCAAATCACTCCAACATTTAGGGCCAGTATAGCTTTAGAGCTGGCCATCAAAGTCTTGCATCTTCTTGAGTGGAATTATTTCATCTCCATTTCATGTCTTCATTTACTAGTAGGGACACCAGAGACTTCCCTGGCTAGTCTGGTACAGTCTACAGGCTATCCTGATACAGTCTCAATACAAATTTTATTAGAGAAATTTTTCCCCAAACCGTATGGTCCCTATTTTCCATGGGGCTTTTGGAACATTTCACACATTTCTTTAAACAACAAAACAAAAAACATCGATGGGAGAAGGGGACTGAAAGAAAAAGTGCCGTGAGTGGATTTTTTCCTTACATATAGAGATTACATTTCCAACTGTGCATCTACCCAGCCTCCATGTGCATCCACACAATGTACAGGAACAGATGCGTATGGCACAATTTTTTTTTTATATCTGCCTGTGAAATAGCCTAAGAACTGTGCACTATGCATACACAAATGTTTGATTATACAAAGCAAAGTACAAAGCTGTTTGCACCAACAAAATAAGCAAATATGTACTCATGTGATTTTGTGTACTACTTACCCATGCACTTGTATAGTTCCTTATACTTTAATATCTGTGCAGCTCCCAAGTTTTTAAAAATATAAATAATAATAACAATCTCTTCCTTCCTTCCTAACCAGGCACCCTTCATAAATGTGCCCCTTGAGGTTTGCTTAAGATGCAAATTGCAGAAAAAAGAGAGAGCGTTGCCTGCTGGTGACAGTCTGTTTTTACCCCATATATTGCACATCCTTGTGATACTGTGATCCCTTTGATTCTATCTAGGTCAGTGATGTCAATGTTCTTTGCCATACCAATTGTAATTGCTCTGGGCCAGCTATTGGCTGGAAATCTGACTTTTTCCAAACAACATAGTTAACTTTGCCAGTACTGCCGTTCTTCCCTCAATCTCCACACAGTTTCAAACTTACATTTCCCTTCTTTTCCTTCCCTACAGGCTAGAGGAGTGTGCTGACACATAGTGACAAACTTGTTCTAAAGTAAGTATAACTACAGAGCTGTCAATTAAACACCCTGTGATTTCTTGCTGGACATTATGTTTAAGTTGAAACTCTGGTGTCAGGCTCTTTGTTTGCACAGGGTTTTAGTGCAATGGCGTCTCACTGATTTCCTTTAGAAATAAATAGGAAAACACTTGCCAGCGGTATCATGTGATGTTGTGCACAGACTCTGCAGCTGTCTCTGTAATTCTTACAGAAGTGAAAGGGTGATGACTTATCCACTGTACCACCCAGACCTGTATTTTTGTCTAAAGTCACCATGTACTTGCAGAGAGTTGGAAATTATTATAATGAATATTTATGATGACATAAAAATGAGCAGCTATAAGTTGTTTCAAACATTTTTAAAAACAAGAAACCAATTTCTACAGTAAAACAAATGCATCTGTTGGAACTGAGAGAAAGTGGTAGCCCCCAGGAATGATCCCAACCTCTCTGTGTATTTGAGAGCTGGAAAACTGTCAGCGCTATAATTGTGTAACACTAATATGTGGTGTATAGATAAAAGCTAAAACATATGGGGAAAGTGCTGAGTTCATAGTTCTAGAGATCACGCATTAATCAGGGATTAATTTGAAATTGAATGCCATGAAATGTTGTGGATTCTTCCAAAATTCATAATTACAGCACAGCCATCTTTTAAAATCTTTACATCCACTTTGGTTTGCTTGGAATATGTATTTTCTGGATTTTGAAAAAGTTATTGCTCCATAGCACAGCAGTTAAAATATGTGTATTTGAAAAAGTGTGTGTGAAAATATGTGCCGTATTGGCTTCAAAGGGGTTTGTAGGGTTCTTCTTCTCAGAATCATGACTTACAAGCAGCCAGTAATCAATATCTAGTTGGAAAAATACTTCAAGAGAATAGCACTAGCTTTTGGTTTTAGGGTTTAGAAAGAATTAGTCCACTCTTAATCTGGACATTGCCAGTGGCCTGATATTTAGATTTGTATCTGAGGTCCATAAACATCACAACAGTTTGGTGTCATTGAGTCTGTAGAATAATGTGTGTTTTAGGTAATGCACAGTACCTTGCTAAAATTAACCACTTGCGTGAATGGGAAACCTGTGCATCTACTTGAGGTTTTCATCCATCCAAATGTGATCATGCAAAAAAAATAAAGAAATGGTCTGATTTAGACACAGTTGATTCATATTAGCCATATTCGGTTGGTATATTGAAGCCCAGAATCCTGAGGAGTTTTTCTATTTTGTTTGTTTGTTTTGTTCCTCCAGAAGGATTTCCTACTCGTTAGATTCATACATGTGAAAGCTATTGCCCCTGAAACTACTTGCACTTATCTTTGACTGACTGCTGACAATAAATTTGGCTCATGAAATGCACGCATACAGACTAACCCCAGCGCCTCTTTAAGATAATTCAGAGATCCAGTTGGTGGGCAGTCCCCTTCCATTCACTGAGCAAAATCTTCAACAACATTTTAATCAGCATATAATTCACTGTGCTTCATAAAATCAACTTCCCCCGTCCTTGAAGTAGCATTCTCTTCAGCTGGTCACTATTCCAGAATGTCATAGACTATCAGTTTGAGTAGTGTTGCATTACAGTTCAGTAAAGCTTCCATACCAGTGTGCAAGACATCATCAGAAAGCCTGATGTTAGCCGGAGAGGATAATAACTATAAGGCATTCTTCTAATAAGGATCTTTTTTTAAACGTTAAGGATGACTTATTTTAATTGTAGGAGAGGAAAGAAACTCCTGCCAAGAGTCAGAAAGATCCCCTAGGGCACTCCAAAGCCTTTAGACCAGAGGTGGGCAAACTACGGCCTGCGGGCCCCTCCTGCCCAGTTACTGAGCTCCTGGCCCACGAGGCTCGCCCCTAGCCCCTCCCCTACTGCCCCTCCTCCCGCGCAGCCTCAGCTCACTGGGCCGCCAGCGCAATGCTCTTGGCTGGGGGGGCTGCGAGCTCCTGGGGCAGCGCAGCTGCAGAGTCCGGCCTGCCCCGGTGCTCTGTGCTGCGCGGTGTGGCTGTAGCACCATCAGCCACTGGTGCTCCAGGCAGCACGGTAAGAGGGCAGGTGGCAGGTGGGGTCGGATAGGGAGCAGGGCAGTTTGAGGGGGTGGTCAGGGGCTGGGGGTGTGGATAGGGGTCAGGGCGGTCAGAGGGCGGGAAACAGGGGGGTTGAATGGAGTCCTGGGGGGGCAGTCAGGAAGGAGAGCAGAGGTTGGATGGGGCGGTGGGGGGCAGTCAGGGGTGGGGGGTCTGGGGGCAGTTAGGGAGCAGGGGGTAGTAGATGGGGAGGAGTCCCGGGGGGGCCCGTCAGGGGACAGGGAACGGGGGGGTTGGATGGGGTAGGAGTCCTGGGGGGGGCTACTAGGGGGCAAGAAGCAGGGGGGGTCAGATAGGGGTCAGGGGCCAGGCCATGCCTGGCTGTTTGGGGAGGCATAGCCTCCCCTAACTGGCCCTCCATACAATTTTGGAAACCCGATGTGGCCCTCAGGCCAAAAAGTTTGCCCGCCCCTGCTTTAGACTATGTATTACGGACAAAAAACAGAGACTCAGCAATGAACAGGAGGCCATGGAAAGTGGCCCTCCATCATAATGTAAATTGCAGCTGACCAGATGGTTCTCTCCTGCCATCAAGGCTCTGGCCTTAGTTAAAAAATAAGACAGCTCACTATCCTAGGTATTAGAGGCAGATTATGGAGGTCTCCTTATTTTATGGTCTGAAAACTTGCTGCATTTGTATAAGCAGGGATAGAGAGTAATTACCATTCAAACCATTCTTTTCAGTCTACAAGATCCACCTCTTCTGTCACATAGCAGAAATGCACACCAAAAATGCAGACTACTGCAGTGACACCAGCAGGTGTGTGGCAGCCACAAGTAATCAAATCAATTGAATTGGATGTGTGGGTCAAATCAAAGGATTTCTGTGTTTCTAGATCTCCATAGAGATCTAAAGGAAAATAAACATTTGTTTATTTAAATAAATAAATAAATAAACAGAAAAATCTGTGTTTACAATCTGTTCAGAGTAAATGTTAATTGGGGGCAAAGGGGAATCTTTGAGGAATTCAAAATAAGATGATCTTTTCACACTTGCTGTAGTGGTTATTTTAGGCTCAGATTTTTAAAGCTATTTACGCATTGTTGTGGTCAGCGTCACAAAGCCTAACTGATTTAGGAGCCTAAATATCATTTTCAAAATGGATTTAGGCACTTAGGAGTCAACTTTTGAAAGTGAGATTTAGACTCCTGAATTAGGTGTAGTGTTGCTGAGTGCAGCAATGCCCAAATAGCCTTAAAAATCTGGCCCTTAGTCTTTAATATATATGCACAGATAGATATAGGTACAGTATATGCCACTGTGTCTATTTGACAAAGGCAAGCCTGGGTTTTGATTTCTGTCAAGAAGCAAATGCGAAATAAAACTCTTTTCTGTACCATATGAATCATGATTCTTTCTAGGCTTACGGAGAATTGAACTTGAGTGCTAGCACCGTTAAAGCTCTTTACCAAGAGCCAGTTCCTGTGGTCTCACTGGGCCCAGCTGCTGATGACTCAGAGAGGAAGTGGCAGAGATTAGGGTGCACAGGAAAAAAATCAGAACAGCACAGAAATAAAGCAAATCAACCAAGCATTACCTTTTGTGCAAAACAGAACAATGACTTGACTACTAAGGTTCAAAATGATCTGTCTTATTCCACTCATTTGTGCTATTCCTGTTGGAAAGACCACCAGGAAACATGTGAACCACTACGGAATACACACTGTAATCCACGGAACATCTCAATTAATATTCCCTCCTGACTGCCGCTAGAACAATACATAGCATCAAGCAGTTTAATCTCCGGCAATAATGCCTTTTGTAAGCCTGAGAGGTTTTTCCTTTCAATTAGGTGTTAAACCAGGATTTTTGAAAATTAGTTAGGTATTCTATATATTGTAAAGTCGTAGCTCCGGATTTCATAAGAACTAGCATATAGCTAGGTAAAATGCCTGGAAACATGCTGGCTGTCGTCAGCAATATTACTATCAGTAATTTCTCCCTTACAGATTTGACATTGGTTCTCTTTAGAATAGAGTTAATCCTCCAGCATGCTTTGTCAGCAGATAATATACCCAAAATTGTACAGCACTTAAAACTCTGCTCTCGATTTGACTTAGTGCTACACAAATAATTATAGACCTGTCAGCAAAAAATTAATGTCGCCTTTCTAATCTAAACAGGAAGACTCAAAGGGGAAGCATTTGGGATCTCAGTTTACTTACTAATGTATAGTAACAATTATTGCATTGGTTAAAACCACTAAACAATTTGACTCATTCTGAGAGCCCAGTACATTTTACTAAGTGAGATTGTTAATAAACTGGATTATAAACTTGTTGGGGCAGGAACTTTGTCTTTTGGATGTTTAAAGTGCTGTGTGCATTTAAGGTGCTATATTCTGGTAAATAAATAAAACAAGAAAAAACAAGAACAAATTTGGCTAATTTATAATATCAGATGCCTTATAACCCAAACCCAAATATCCTAACAGCAATCTAAGGGCTTGTCTACATGGTGGGGTAAAGCATTCTGCATGGGTGTGCTTTCTAAAGCGCACTAACATATTGCACACAAATTGGTCCATGTAGATCCTGCTGGTGTGCTTTAATGTACTACATTAGAGCACAGTAGTGCACAGCAGAATGGTCTACATGAACCAATTAATTCGGAACACGTTGGTGAGCTTTAGAAATCATAGCCCGGTGGAGCGCATTATCCCATCGTGCAGAGAAGCCCTAAGAAACTGTTCAAAATACCTGTGAGAATCACCAATTTTATTTCCTATTTTTAAAAATTTGATATTCTATGTTGACTAAAATCAAGACACTTTGTTACCTGTATTGGTTTTCTATTTCAAATATATACCCTGTCAGTGATTTTCATTCTAACAGCTGCATTTTATAAATAGTTACTTTAGTAACTAATGTCAAAATATTGCTAAAATATCCAGATTATTAATTCA